ACTAACGTAGTAGTACGTACGTAGTACGTACTACTAACTAAAACAAATAATAACGTAAGTTAGGGTTACGGTAACCCGTAACCCGTTACGTTACGTAGACGTCTCTCTCTCTCTCTCTCTCTCTCTCTCTCTCTCTCTCCCTAGATGTCACATGTGTACACATGCCCACACCTCCACTAAGGGTTACTTATATCCAAATTATGACCACAAAGGCAATCTTGTTTGTGTTACCTTGATACTCCAATATAGGTCTAGTGTCATGTGTCATCACCTCTAGATATAGGTAAGAAATACATCTAGAAATGTGTTAGAAATAGAAGTAGTAAAGAGTTTTAACATACTATTGGAAGTCAGATAATCCCTTTTTTTTTTTTACAAGTAGACCATAAATTTTATTAGTCAACGCTATAGAGAGTTATATCAGAAAAAAGAAAAAAAAAAAAGAATCATGGAAGGAGACCCCAAAAGCAATCGAAATAGATTCAAAAGAAGCACCCCAATCCATCCGCCAAATCATTTACATCTCTGTAGACATGTTGAAAAGAGAAATCCATCCCAACATAGATGTCTAAAACTTTTGCCTAAATCGCTTACAACTTCCAATATGGCCTGCTCTACTTATTACACTGGTTTATTACATTCAAAGATTTACCTTCAATGACGCAACACTAGCCCTCAAAGCTTTCTCTCACCAATTTCAGGCCTTGCAAAAGGGCTCTAAATTCTACCTCATTAGCCATCGTAAAGCCACAAAGGCCAACATAGGAAAGCATGTTCATTTGAATTTCTAATCACCCCCACCCCACCCCACCCCCACCCCCACCCCCACACCCCTCCGCTAAACCAAAAGCCAGCTGCTCCTGGGTTTCTAAGTGAGTATCCAATAAAATTAAGTTTGATAAATTTTTCCAAAGGTAACTGTCACCTTCCCTTTGGTTTAATGCATACTATTGTACCATTTATAATGGACATCAAATTAAGAGTAACATCCACCTTTGACTAACCATATTCTTGATTGGTAACTGAAAACCAGCACCACAAGGTATTATGGACTCTTTGTACAACATCTTGAAAATCATGATGAAGTCTTTCAAATGTTCGTCTCTTCCTTTTCTTTTAGAATTCCCATAATACAGCTATTCTCAAAATCTGACACACCACATGTCCATTTTTTTTGCAACCCTGGCAGCTCCAAATGCATAAGAAGATTCGTGTGCACCTAAGGCAGCATCATTCTGACATCCATAATATTAAAAACCAGTTCCAAATAGCTGAGATTAAAGGGCAACGTAAAACAACAAGATCACCATTTTCTTCATCCCTTTTAGCAAACATACATTCACCAAGATTTTGCCTCTCTTTTTTAGATTCTCAATAGTTATTATTTTACCCTAAAGAGCAACATATTGAAAGCACATAATTTTGTATGGTATAGGCAACTTCGAAACATACTTTAAAGAGGAGGGAATGTTCCTTAAATGATCAGAACACAACAATCTCTAAACTGATTTAACAAAAATATGTCATCATTCTCCCATTCCCAAACCACCTCATCATCCAAATTCTAAGAGATGTAGACAAAGTTGAGAGAAGATAATAGATTCTGCAATTGGTTTATAACATCATCTAAAACCTTATTATAAATGCAATCAATTTTTCAATGTTTATTCGAACCATGTGTGAAAAATTGGCTTCTATTATCGCCTCTGAAATTGTAGCTCTTGCAAAGTGTTAAGGATAAAGGAGTTTCAGAGGTGAATCCCCTAACCACTTTTGATGCCAAAATGAAACTATGTCTCATTTGCCTACAAACCACCTCACATCTCTAGCCACAATCTCCCTAATCCCACGAATATCCTTCCAAAATTCAGATGATGCCAAAATGAAACTATATCTCCTTTATCTACAAACCACCTCACATTTCTAGCCACAATCTCTCTAATCCCACGAATACCCTTCCAAAATTCAGAAACAAGCTCAGCCCTCATGCCCCTCTCATTTAAGACAAACTCAGGCCAAACTCCATTCGTAGCTTTGACAACCTTGCACCACAGCAATTCCTCACAATGCATAAGCCTGCACTACTATTTCGCAAGTAAAAAGCTGTTAACTAAATTAAACTTTCTAACTCCTAAGCCACCTTCTATTTTTAGTGTACACACCGTGCTCCATTTGACAAGATGATACTTTTACCTTTGATCCATATTTCCCCACATAAAGTCCCTCATCAACTTCTCAAACTCCTTGCACACTAAGTTAGCCATAGTAAAGAGGGTCATTTAGTAAATAGGAAGGTTCGCCCATGAAGAATTTACAAGAATAACTCTACCCCTCATAGAAAGGAACTTCATTTTCCATAGATCAAATTTTACATGATATCACTTCAACACAAGATCTGAAATCAATCTCAATAATAAAAAATCAGATATTGGTAAGCCAAGGTTTCTAATGGAAAAATAATAAACTTTGCAACCGACTATCATGGCAAGAGAGTCCACCCAATTAGTCACACAATTGACTCTAATCAAAGAAGTTTTCTTAACATTAACCTTAAGCCCCAACGTTATTTCACAACGTTTAAGAAATTATTAATAAAATAAAGCAATTGTGGATTAGTATCACAAAAAAAAATGATATAATCAATATATTGTTAGTGGGAAATAAAAGGGTTTTGAGGTACCTTAAAACTAGCAAATCTTCCCAACTCTTCCACCTTAGACAACATCACACTGAAGGCTTCTACAATAATTATGAATAATTGTATAGATATCTCTTTCTAGATTGTAAGTGGGAATAGAAAGGACATTTTGAGATACTTTAGAGCCAGCTTATATAGCATCACACTGAAGGCTTCTGTAATAATTTATAGACATCTTTTTCCTCATGTGTGTTTTAAGCTGATACGATGTCAACTTATGTTGGACATCAATATTAATATTGATGCACATGTAATGTTTATTCTAGGAAAAACATTAGAAATAGTGTAATCAATATTGAAATAGATCAAAATGATTTGACTAGTTGGAGTACTGACCAAATTACAAACTAGGTTAATCATGTGAAAACTTGGATCTTGAGAGCATCATAGTGTTAAACAGTTATTTTTTAAATCTTTGACAAAGGGTTTTAGCCATTGTTATTTGCCCAATTGTTTGATGACCAATCAAACTGATAAATGCTAAATGATCTGGTAATAACTTTTTAGATTTAGTGTCATATACTATTCTGATAACGTTATTGCAAATAATTCACATTTAGACACCTGATTTGCAAGGACATTAATTTTATATATTTTGGGAAATCCATTCGATTTGAGAACTATAAAATACAAATTGATCATCTTACAACTATACTGATTAATAAAGGTAAAGGATTCAAATATAATAATTTCCCATGTAAAATAGATATTAAATCTTTTCAAGCTGCTTTTTTTTGGTAATTATCCCATTTATGCTTTAAGGGAAATGATTAGAGTTTAATCATCTCTTTTAATATTTGAAAATAATAGAATGTGCATAAATGACTGACATGCATTTATCTTCATATAGGATTCCATTATTGTCAGATTAAAGTTTGTACCAAAAGCAAAGTTATTAAAATCAACCCATAGTTATACTTTCTTCTTTATGCCATAGCATTGCTCACAAAACTAAACAACTTTTGAATTTCACAGTGAAGCTTCTCCTACGAGTAGGATTCTACTATGGTAACTATGATGGCTTCTCAAAACCTCCGGCATTTGATATCCAATTTGATAATAACATATGGGTCAACATCATAACTTCAGAGGAAAAAGCAGTGGCCTACGAAGTAGTGTATGTGGCATCGAGCAGTAGTACAACCTTTTGTGTGACTCGAACAATTCCCAATGAGTTCCCCTTGGTCTCTGCAATTGAATTGACAGAGCTCCCCAAGAATATGTACTCGCACATGGACACTGAGCGTGCATTGTTCATTCAAAGTAGGATTGACTTTGGAGCAACATCTGAGTATATAGGGTAAGTAGGAAAAAGTACATGTAATTTAATGTCCTAAATAAGAAAAGGTATATTGTGATTTGGTCATTCAAAACTTTGGACGTATTTCCCTTTTTTCACTTTGCTTATTTACAATAACAGAGAACCTTTTTCAGGCATTTCAGTATTGGAATTTGAGTACTTTGCATGTGATTTGCAATTGCTTAGCCAAAAATTTGATTAAAGAAATACAACAACTTTACTATCCTTATGCCTATCATGTATATGATTTTTATTTTCTTTTTCAACAAACAAACATTTTCTTTTATGTGTAGCTTTTTTTATCTTTTGTTATCAAAATAGACAAAGGTGCGAAATATAAACCCAATCATGCTTTATAGGACGGAATGTTGGGTGGTAAAGGAACAACATCCATAGAATGAGTATAGTTGTGATGAAGATATTGAGATGGATGAGTGACATGATAAGAAAGGAAAGAATTCCGAATGAATACTTAAGAAGGAACTTAGGCGTAGCTTCAATAGGTGATAAGATGAGAGAACACACACTTAGGTAGGTTGGCCATGTATGATGTAGACCTAATATTACACCGGTTAAGAGGTACAATTTGGTTCAAGGGAAAAGCTTTAAAAGGGCAAAAAGAAGGCCCCAAAAGACATGGTTATAAGTAATAAGAGAAAATATGGTGATTTTTCATCTTATTCAGGGTATGGTCATTGATAAAGAAGAATGAAGGAGCATGATTCATGTGATCGACCATAAATAATTGGAAAAAAACTTGAATGATGATAATGATATAAAGGTGTTAAAGAGATAGAGGTTGCCAGTAAGTGACTAAAGGCAAACATATGGCTGATAGGAAGGAGATATATGGTTTTGGAAAAGTAAATACACTTTCTACGATTGCATTCCACTGATTACAATATGCCCATTTGGTCCTCTTATAACAATGCAGCCATTGACTACTCATAAGTGACTTTGGCAAAGATGAATACTACTATTGATTCTCCACCACTTCATTAACGTCAATATGATTGTTATTATGGAAAAAAGAAAATATCGTATACACAAGATGTGGACACTTGGAGGGAACATAAGTACCCTTTGAACATTTCAGATTAAAATAAAAGAAAATGAACAGTCATGATTGTTTAATGTTTATTTGCTTACAATTTGGAGAGTCTACAGGTACACTTAAAAACATATTAAATATGATTTGCAAAAAAATTAAATTGACAAAAATAGTTCTAAATGTTTCAAAGAATGGTGTTCAATTTAGTTTTAACAAATTATATTTTTATATTTATTTGGTGCACAAAAGTGTGGCTCAAGCACTTCCAAAATTTCATGTCAATCCAATTAGTAGAAAAATTAAAATTAAAACAGCTTCATAAATCATGGCCATCAATGTGTTTTCCATCTAATCTAAACCGTTGAAGTGTGCCTATGCACTCGTCTCGCATCCACTATCCTATTAGGAAAATGAAGAATTAAATATGATACAAATGACCATTACAATTATAGGGGTCATCTTGCCAAATCCAAGAATTGGCTAGCAAAGGAAACTACACAAATTATACGTTTAATGGGGCCGATCTTTCCTCATCATCATCTAACCAATCCATGAAAGTTGATAATCCTGACAACCAAAAGTTATTCTCATGACCACATGGATCATACTATATATTGAAAGAACCTGTAATGTTTTGGACTGCCAATTCTAAACTACTAATGGACATCCAAAAATCGTGTCAGAAGGATTTTGTGTACTTGATCTTTCTAACTCTTGATTCACGTTGCAATCAATTCCAAAAAGAAAAATAAAATTGATTAAACAATAGATCTTATCGAAATGCAAAGTTTTAGGATGACTGCAAACTACTGTCAAACAAATGGATAATCTTTCGGAGGTTTGTAAATGTTGTAGAAATTGACAGTCATATCCCTTAATTCATCTCTAATTCTCCTCTATTGTAGAATTTAAGCTCAAAACTATTAAAGTAAGATTAGTCATCATATTCGTTAGCTCTTTGATGGAATTGAATTCATCATAAAAACTAATTTATTTAATGTATTTAATTACAGGTATCCATATGATGAGCACAATAGAGTATGGTGGTCTTGGACTCCATCAAACACTGATGTTGTGATAGCAGACTTCTCGTACCTTATCAACTCAGTTAGTGATGATCCACCATTTTCTGTTATGAGCACAGCTGTTGAATCAGCAAATTCAACAAGCCCAATGTATCTCTCTTTTGATCTGCCCATGTCTGAAAGGTCAGCATATTTAGCAATCTACTTCACTGAGGTGTCAGAGATGGCAGTTGGAAATCGAACATTCAATATCTATGTTGATGGCAAGAGCTACAACATGACATTGAGCCCGCGCTATCGAATGATTGATGAGTTCTCTGGGTACGCAGACCCAGCAGTTGGTCCCCTAAATCTCACCCTCTCTTCGACTCCAAATTCGAATTTTCCACCACTCATCTCTGCCTTTGAACTATACACATCTAGTGATTTGCTAACGACACAATCAACCTCACAAACTGACTGTAAGTTGGAGGGAAGGCAGACCTACTCTCTCTCTCTCTCTTTCTCTCTCCATTATTTTACTTTGACTTCTTATGCTTTCTTGCTAAAGATCTGAAATAAAGGAATGCACATTTCTTTTCAGATTAGAAAAGTAGAAGAAAAATTTCTACATTCTCCATATGAATTAAATATTCGAATGTATTACATACTTGTCTATGTATTTCTTAGGTTTTATTTAATTATCTAGTATCCAATTTTTCTTGTAATTTTCAGTGGAAGGCCTGGCAAAACTTAGTTCAGCATTTATCCAACTACAAAGTTGGACAGGCGATCCATGCTTGCCATTGAAATCCAATTGGGAATGGTTGCAATGTAGCAATGACGATGCCCCTAGGGTGAATGCACTGTGAGTAGTACAATATGCTCTGTCTTTCTCTTACTTCCACTTTTCCTTCCCATATGTGCTAAGAACGCCTCTTATTTTGATAGAAATATGAATATTCTACCCAATTCAAAATGGACGCAAAGTCTTTATGATATGGAATAATGAAGACCCAATTTGATAGGGGAAGTATACTACCGTGAGAATATTTTTGTGAAAAGACTCCCGCATGTGATTAGAATGGTTTTTTTTTTTGTATACCAATTGGTTCTAACACATTTTTCACACCAGTTGGCATATGAGGGAAATTGTTTTATGCCAATTGGTATTAGAAAAATCCCACCTGTAGTCACATGAAGGAATGTTTTCACATGGCAATACTTTCACGTATACCAAACGTGCCCTAAGGAAATCTGATCAAACCAAAGAGATGACATCACCAAAAATCAGATAATCAACTATCTAAAGCTGAACATACTTAAAAATAATATGGGATTCTGCTTCATCAAAAAATCATTAGTGCTTTGAGTATTATCTTGGTATTGACCACCCTGAGATTATGATGATGGAGACCTCAAAAAACGAAAACCAATTCGAAAGTTTCTTTTTTATTAAAAATTTACCTCTATGATAAATAGACATACATAGGTACTCTCTTAATCACACTCAAGACTAACATTAAAGCATTACATGAATATTTTGATTGGGATTCCATCAAGATTCAAAGCTTCTTAGTACAAGAATGTGAGAAAGAAACAAAAAACAACTTTCAAGAGTATATGAAGGTTCTCACAAGGCATGTGTTATTTTTTTATGCACCATATATGTTCATTTTTTTAAATAATTAGCAAAGTCCATTAAGAACCTAACTTTTCTTTTCCTTTTCTTCCTATTTTTAGACCGTGTGACTTTTACTCTATCTTAAAACATGACTCTTTTTGCATGAACAGAAAATATTTGATGTAAGTAATCATGTTTTAAGAGAGATTTCTTAAAAAGGATTACATAGGAATTCTTCTTTGGCTATATTTCCTAAACTCTCTCCTAATTCATTGAACCAAAACCCTTTGAATACACATTAGTTTGTTTTTACGTAATTTTCTCTTTCCTCCCCTTCACCCATTGCTAAATTTTAATTTTGTTCTTGCTTTCAATATTTGTACTCCATAATATAGTGACAAAACTTAGAAATCTTACTTAAATTTTTAGGTAAGAAGTAAAAACACTGCACAATAGTAACTATTTCGCAATGTTAGTTTGTGGGATGAGTTTTGGGCCTTAAGAATGATTAATCTATTTATATTTTGATCAAGTATTAGCTTACTAATAATGTTAACTATAAGATTTATTTGATTAATTTGAAATCGAATTGTTTCTTGCCACCCTCGATGCCCTGAAATGAGCCTACTTTTTTATTCCATAATGAAAATCTAAACTAGTCACATTCCTCTCTCTCAAATTATTACTTGGTTACTTTAAAAAGTGTTTTTGAGATCATGTTTTTTGATCAAAACTATACATCCATTTCTATGTTCCCTAAATTTGAACCTTGGTTACTTGTTAGCGGCAACTAATTCACAACAAGTTGGATACTAATGCATGAGGGCTATTTTTGGGATGAAACTTCATTTAACACCATTTGATCAAACTTAATGGAATAACTCCTAGAACCAATAAAATAGATGCATAAAAATTTGAGTAATTAAATGTGAGTGAGAGGACAAAGAGGGCGTTTATTTGTTGTATCAATGATCAAGAGTTCTTCCGACTCAAACTTGGCCAAGATACTCAACTTTGACCTATGCCTAAGGAAGTTCCCATGTACCCCTTCGGGTTAAATGCGAAGTTGAGTAGTACTTAGGCAAATTCATGTTCATACTTATCCATCATTACCATCGTTTGAGCTTTTTTTAAACTAATTGGGGTTGGCTACACAAATCTTAGTTCGCAGTTATACTCTATTAAAGGTCATACTCTCAATGAGGTCAGAAGTTCCCATATCTTTTATCACTACTTCCAACAATATCCTTTTGGGCCTACCCCCTTATGCTTTTTGAGCCTTCTAGTTGAACTAACTCACACTTCGTAATTAATGTTGTATTGGGCCTGTACTACATATGGCCAGCCAACCTAAGTCTACTTTATCCCACCTATTGGTGTCACACCTAAATTCTCCTAGATAAATTTATTTTGAATTCTATCATTTCTTATCTTGCCACTCGTCCATCTCATCATTCACAACTCGGTTGCACTCATTTTATGGGTATGTTGTTTCTTGACCGCCCAACATTCCACCCCATAAGTAAAGCTGGTGTAATTCGATATGTGACATCTTCTTTAATCTCTCAATGTTATTGAATTATTGATCCACGATAGCAAAAGTGTGTTTTTTTTGGTATTTTTTAGCTATCCATCTTAACTATTTTCTTCTCTCTACTCCTACTATTCTAAACTTGCATTCCATATACTCTGTCTTAGTCTAGCTAATTTTAAAACCTTTAGATTCTAGAGGACCCCTCCAAAGTTTTAACTTTGTGTTGACGTCATTTTAGGTCTCATCAATCAACACAGTACCTCATCTTCTATATGCCTAGTTAAGTCATTTATAATTAAGACAAAGATATAGATCTATTGTCAGTGAAAATTCATTCTTCTCTCCACTAGTTGTTCATCACTAATTAGTGCTCCATCATATGTATCTCTCACCAAGACAATGTAGTGTCTAGAGACTTCATTCTTTTTAAACACCCACCAAATCAAATCTCGAGGTACTCTATCATAACCTTTCTTTAGATCAAGAAAGACCATATAGAGGTATTTCCCCTTTGCCTTAAATTTCTCAATCAGTTGCCTAAATAGAAAAATAACCTCAAACCTCCCTAGCATAAAATTGAATTGGTTTTTTGATACACATATTCTATGCCTTAATCATTGCTCAAATCACTCTATACCACAACTTCATAGTGTAGCTCATAAGCTCTTGATAGTTCACATAATACAATCAAATTATCATTGACTGCATGTTCAGAGTTCCATATTCTTTGACTGCATGTTCAGAGTTCCATATTCTTTCTTTAACTAATTTATCCCTAATTTTTTTTTTTTTTTTCATTTTTCAAATTCCACTACCTAGTCTTTGAACACCTATTAATTCACCACATCTCTTCTAGGTCTTTATGCAAGCGTCCCTAACAATAAGCATATATTAGGTAGTCAAAGTCTCTCTTGGGATACCTTACAGTCTTTACATGATAGTCGATCCATCTTCATATCTATGAAGAAATCTATGTAGCTTTTATATAATCCATTTTTTTAGATTATTAAATATTCATTTCGCTTTGTAAAGTAAATATTTTGTATTGCTAGATCGTAGGCCATAGCAAAATCTACAATAGACTTACCTATATATTTTATTTCACTAAACTCATATCCCAAATGTACCCCGTCATATCTTCTATTATCCTTCCTTACATTCTATTAAGCCCGTTCTAAAGAGGTATTCTCTCCATTTGGTATGTCTCGGACTAGTCTATCTATATCCTCCTAAAATTGTCTCTTACTTATATCTATATTCCTACTTGTGATGTATAAACATTAATTACGTCAATTATCTATTTCTCTAATATAAGTTTAATTAATAGAATCCTATCACCTACTCTCTTGACATTAACTATTTTATCTTTTAAATCTTTATCTACTATTGTGTCTACACAATCTTTTCATGTATACTAAATTTTTGTGCTCATCTATTTCCTTATCTTTATCTCCTGACCACTTAGTTTCTTGTAAACAAGCTATTTCTATTCTCCTTTGCCTTATTCTATCTACTAACTCCATACCCTTACATGTAAGTGTTCATATATTCTATGTGGCTATCAAAATCCTATTATCTTGAACTAGCTTCTTTACCCGTACTCATAATGTCACATGGACCCTTGCTTATTTTCACTGCAACCGGGGGCCGCTCAGCGTGCCACTTCTCAGGAATGCCCAGCTAACCCTTGCTCATTTCTCACAATACTACAAAACATCGCTTACAAGGAACACCCTAGCATAAGCACACAATATAGATTTCAGATTCATGGAAAGTTTGGACAAGTTTTGTATTGACTACCTACATAACACAACCCACCTCCTTTACTTGGGATTATAATAGGTTAAGAAAAAGTTTAAGGTTCTCACCAATCTTAAAACACTATTCATACTCATCTAAGCACGGTAAAACACAGGCCAGTAAGCAAGAGTTCTACTGTAGTCGGGTGAGTAAAACTAGCATGGACACTTTTAATAGAATAAAAGGGGGGCACCACTCCCTTATATCATATCTCTCACACACACATGTACAAGAGCAAGGGGTAGAAAGGCCCCCTCTGACCATCTCATCTTTATTCTTACTTCTTGGAGTTTCAACAATAGAGAAGTCTCACCTAAGCTCAACATTTATACCATGTACTTTCTCCTTAAAAAGTGGTGGTGTTTTGCAAATTCTTTTGTTTCTATATCTCTCTAAACGGGCTAGTTTTTTTGCCCCTATTTGCTTTTTAAAATAGGGAGAAAATCTGCCTCTTTTCTTTACCTCTCTCTAAAAAGCGGTAGAAACCCACCCTTTTGTTTCCCTTTCAAACCCCCCACACCCCAGAAAGGAAAAAAAACAAGAGACAAAGAAAGAGATAGATAGAGATATATTGCAGTCCCAAGTGAGTCCCCGAGTGAGTGAGTGAGAGAGAGATGCTTTATTCCCAAAGAGAGAGGGAAGGGTGGGGGAGACAAAGAGATCTCTTAAAATGCCTGAGAGAGAGATAGCTAGGAGAGAGAGAGAGAGAGCCATGCTCTCTCTTCTTGGGCCCCATGCCCAAGGCCCTCTCTCAATTGGGCATGTGCTTAAGATACATCTGGACTTCCTATATTTTTTGTTTTTTCTTTTTCTTTTTTTCTAGGGACACCCCTCGGACAAGTTCATTCAGACTTTGTCAAGTATCTCAGTTCAAGCATAGGCCATATTCGATGAGTGAGCCGATTGTTTAAATATTTATGTCATCGACTAAATAATAACAAATTTGTGCTTGTGAGTTGGGACTCGTCATTATTTTCTTTTCTTTTTTTCTAGTTGCATATTTCCTATAAATTTCTTATCATTCGTGGTATTCATTCTTTGAAATGAGGCTTCTTTTAAATGGCTGACTACATGATAAGAAATTAAATTTAATATATCTATAGTTGCTGGTTGTCTACATCCATAAAATTGAAAATTGTGTAAGTTTGTTACAAAATAAGGTAATATTGCCATTCAAATAAAAACAAAAATGGAACACTCATAACAAATAAACACCAACTACTTCAACATATGCATTCAAAGTAGGGTGCAGTTGACATACGGATGCATCCGTAGCTGTAGAGGTAAGGTGCATGCACCTTCAAATTTTATCATGGTACATAATTTTGATGTAAAATGGTCTTCACATTATCTCAAAATCTATTTTTATATCTAATTATAAAATTTTAAATTTCCAAAATGGTTAAAATCAAGTAGATCTATAAACATATGAAAATCTTGAAAATGGACGGTGTAGATAATATGTTGTAAAATGCACTATTTCTGAGACTTAAATTTTTTTTATTTTTCATGGTCATACATCTCGATGTCGAGATGATCAATCAAATGGTTTTTCAATAATAAAACTACCTTTTACAATGGATTTTTGAGGTGTATTCGTAGTTCTACATTATAAGGTTGCATCCTTACATAAACTTTTTCCTTCAAAGTATACATGCCTTAAGAAAATTAATTTTAGATTAAAAAGTGAATGATGAATATCCTTAACTAGTTAACCATCAAAAGATAACCCAGCCACTTGTAAAGCATTTTTTATGATATACATTAGGAAATCATTTAATCTCGTTAATTTTTTGCAAAACTTGTATATCCACCGTTCCTAATCCTAAATTGTTTGAGAGGCTCTGAAGTATTAGACAATGGTAATTTTTTGGGATTTCGGTTAAAAAATGATGCTAATAAGTTTTTAGAACGACTTTTACTATGTCGTTTAATGTCCTTTGAGGAAGCATTATAAACAATTTCTACATTCATTAATTTCTCGTTGTATGATGGGCTTTTGTAACTTATTTTGTTACCTTATTGGGGATCAGGTACATAATTTTTGAAAGATATATCATGTTATTGAAACAATTTCGTATTCCACGAGGCGCATACATTCCATTTGTCCCTCAAGTAAAAACCACGATTGAAGTATTTTTTATGGAAAAAATTTATATAAGGATGCAGCCTTATAATGTAGAACTATGAATGCACATCAAAAATCCATCGGAAAAGGTAGTTTTAATGTTGAAAAACCCTTTGATTGATCATCTCAACATCTAGATGTATGACCCTGAAACAATAAAAAGATTTTAAATCTCAGAAATAGTGCATTTTACAACATATTATCTACACTGTCCATTTTTAAGATTTTTATATTTTATAGATCTACTTGATTGTAACCATTTTTAAAATTTAAAATTTTATAATTAAATATAAAAATAGATTTTGAGATAATCCTAAGAACATTTTACATAAAAATTATATACCATGATAAAATTTGAAGGTGTACCCTACCTCTAAAGCTTCAGATGCATCGTTATGCCAACTGCACCCATTTTTAGAATGTGATCTCTTGAAATGAGTGACCAACCTAAAAATAAAATAAAATAAACTAAAAAATAAAGCAATAAGAAATAAAGTTGCCTGAATAAAATAGTTTCGGAATATCGAACAAGGACCGCCCCATATTTGGATAGTATGGTCTAAATGTTGGAAAACGTAAAGGCCATTGGTTTTAAAATAATAATATCTTGAGTTTTAATTGAAACTGAAAATTTCAAATAGGAAAGATCCTCTCAAGTAGCTATTTTACTTCAGTGAGTTGATATTCTATTTTAATATGAACGATGGTTAGAGAGAATGATCATTCCCCAGAGTAATATTGTAATTTTCAGCTATCTCTCAAGCTATGGCCTTGAAGGATCTCTTCCCATCTTTGAAGAGATGCAGGCCCTTGAAATCATGTAAGTCACATATGCTACTTGACCTTGTCAGTTTCAATTAATGGAAACACTTTGACAATCTCAAGTAAATCAAAGGTTCTCTTTCATTGCAGAGATCTACACAACAATAGCCTAACTGGTGAAGTTCCATATTTTCTCGGAACATTGCCCAACTTGAGAGAATTGTAAGTTAAACATTGGCATAGCAATTTATCAAACTTTTTCAACGAAAATTATACTGCACTCTTGTTTTCTTTCAGCAGTTGCAACTTTGACGAAAATGAGCGAACCAGTGATTTAAAAACTGGAATTGGTTCAGCATTCTAACCACCTAATTCCTGATTTTGTCCTGACAGAAATTTGGAGAACAATAGGTTCAACGGAGAATTACCAAAATCACTCAACAACGAGAAGATCAATGTGAAGTAAGAAAGAGAATCGCCTCAACTTTTTTGAATTTTTAGCAATAGGTTTGTCGAAGGCTGTTCTACTTTTCCTTGACCGCGAGCACTAGTGTTTTAGAACTTGGCTCAGGCCATGGTTTTGACCCTACCGTGAGTCAGAGGTATTCTGATTAGTCTAGGAGGACTTGTCCGAGTAGTGACAAGATTCAAAAAACAAAAAAAGAAAACAAAAAAAAAACAAAAAAAATAAAAACAAAACAGAGAGAGGTAGAGTGTTGATTAAAGTACAGGCCCACTTCGGCGATATTTGATCTATTATTTTGTTCTGTATTGATAATGTGCACTAAGTATATCGTAAAATTACAAAGAAAGGAAAGAAATAGAGTTGTAATTTAAGAAACTAAAAAGGTTTTATGCTCCAGCCGAAGCATACTGTCAAATCACTCCCTAGGGAAAATCGGGGTAATTTTAGGACCCCAAATTTTACGGAAGTAATCTCTACCACCTTGCACCTAATCTAAGAAAAAAATTAATAAAAAACTTGTAATTTTTAAGTATAAAAAAATTGAATGTCCTAAGATTGAATGGAGAACATCTAATTTTTAGAGAATGAGATCTGAATTATCGAATAACGTAATTTTTTAATTTTTTTTGAAATAATCATATGGTAAACCTTAAGTAGATCCCAAAATTTAGATCCATAATATCCTTACAAGTAGCTCTTACCCCTCAAGGTGTCAAGGAACAATATGCTCTTGTGGAAGCATATACTCATATAAAAACATAGGAAAAAAAAAAAAATACAAAATATAAAAGACTCAAATGGTATGCGACTCGTATGCTATTTAGTGTTTCCCAAATTTCTCACATGCTCGGGCAATGCTTGAAGCTGTTATTAACTCTCACAGCAACATTTATACCCCAAGTGAAAGTTGGAATACCCAACACTAATATCATCTTTAGAGTTTTTTTTCAAATTATTTAGGATCGATTGCATGAATTCTAATATGTCATTCTGCTTTATCAAGAACTCTACTCTTAGTGAGTCCATAAGTCCTCATATTTTTTCTCATTACTTCTAATCATGTCTTTTTGGGCCTACTCCTTGCCCTTTTATTTTTGATGCTCAATGTGTATTATCCACTTCTCTTGAGGTTTGACTCAAGTTATTAATTTTATTTTTCATTTTAATTTATCAACATTTTATTTTAATTTGCTAATGACATTAAGTATCCATGTATCTTTCTCTATTTCTCTCACCTAAAATCCTCTAAGTTTACTACTACTCTTTTTTGAATTGCGCCACCCCATTCGATGATTTGATTTATTAATCTTCCTTCAAATGCGTTAAATAGCCTTTTTTTTCATTTCCATTGAATTCGAAACTAACTTTGAGTTAATTACTTAAACTAATGATCTTCACCAAATTGTCCTAATAGAGTGCCAATGCTCTAAGATACATGAGAAGTTCTAAGATGAGCAATAAAGTATCCATGCTAATAAAGAACCCTGTGAATTTTTAAGATTAATATAGTTCTTCAAGCCAGGTTCATTCTTCTTTGTGGCTCCAAACCCAAATATTTATATGTGTTAAGAGACCCATAGCCATTAAATCTTGAACAAATTGTTTGGGGTAAGCCAAAGAAAATCCCACAAGTTGATGCCAAGTATGTTCGGGTTATAAGTGATTTATAGCATTATTGTTTGCTTACTTCTAAGATCCGATCAAAAAATACATAATATATATATATATATATATATATATAAAATATAGAAATGATCTTGTCTGCCCACAGGCTGACAGCTACAGCGTCAGCCAATATTTGGGCCGATTTGATGATTAAAACCTAATTTCGTATTTGAATTTTAATTATTTTTTTTATAAATCAAAATGACTTGAAATTTTAGATTTTGATTCTTCTCATCAAGGCCCACCTAATAAGAATAAAAATAATAATTACTAAAATATAAACTGATCAAAATACCCCCGAAATTTGAAGAATAGACGCTCAAAATTTCAAATGAGTTGAATTTGTAGAAAAAAAATAAAAATTCAAATATGAAATGAGGTCGTGTTCATTGGATTGGGCTCGGATTGAATCTGAGCCGTTGGCTGATACTGTAGTGGTCAATTCGTGGGCTGACAGGATGCTTTCCCCTATATATAACATGGTTTTTTAAGAT